CCACCTCAAATGGTTTGGCAATAAAATTGGACCCTTGGTCTGAACAATCTCCCTGGGTAGGCCAGAATGGGTTTAAAAAAAAATGCAAGCAACTCCTCCACATTCTGACATTCTGTAATGGAATTGCCTCTGGAAATCTGGTAGATGCATCCATTATGGTAAGCAAATACTGGTTCCCACTTTTGGTATTAGGAGGGGACCTAACAATCGATCATAACCCACGTGAAAGGTTCTTCAAATGCAGGAATTGGTATCAAAGGTGCTGGTTTTATTACTGCCTGTGGCTTTCCTACCATTTGAGAAGTATGACAGGTACAGCAAAATTCAACCATATCTTTATGTAATCCAAGCCAATAGAAATGCTTCTGTATCTTGGCTTGAGTCTTCCTCGCTCCTAGATGACCACCTACAGGTAATTTTGTGTACTACCCCCAAACGTCCTGTCTGTATGCTACCAGCAACACAATCTGGTAAACTTCTGCTCATGTCTCCTCTGCGCTAACCTGCCAAGGTCTGCACCTCTGCCTTAACATCCTATCTTTTAAGGTAATAACATTCTGGAATACATTTTGTGTGCTTTTCCGAGGCTTCATAATATAAATCTTTTATTGTCTCATCTACTTGTTATAACTACATTTAGTTTTTCAGAGCTAAACACCTCTGCCTGATCCTCCACCTGCTTAGGGTTCTTCCTTTACCATTTCATCAAACAGGTTGTGAGCTAACTGGACCTTGACTCCTCCGTCTTTCTCTTTGATTTTCCCTTTTTGCTTTAATCTTTGACTGTGGGATCTTGTCACCCCACATTCTGGAAAAATTCCAGGGTATTTTTCTTTTAACTCTTCAGTTGCTGATTTTCTTTTGGCTTCTCCACGACAATGGGCATCATTCCCACCTTTGATCTGGCTCGGTCTCTTCCAAGAACAAACTGTATTCCTGGAATAAACACTTTCTATCACTCCTACTGTCAATTCCCTGGTCTTGATTGGACTTTCCAGCCTTCTTTTACACAGGGGAATGCTAAATCTCTCTCTCCACTTATTCCACGGATTATCACTTTTTCTCGGGTAACGTTTCAGAAGGAGTGCAAATATTTTCATCTTTTATTATTAGAGACTGACCAGCTCCCATATCTCTCAATATTCTTTACCTTTTTCCCCTCTTCTTCCTGAATAAACCTTACTCGCAGAGCTGAAGTCTTTGAAGAGATTGGGCTCTATCTTATGAGACAGCCCGTGACTAGACTATGCACTCTCCTGCAGCTCCTCGAGTTCTCTTGGTATTTCCTTCACTACCTCAACTAATCCCACTGGTTTAGCCTCTTTTACCGCTACCTCTTTCCCACTGCCTTTCTTAATCCACCAGCACTGTGACTTTGTTTGGCTCCCCTCTATTACAGTGGAAATGCATGAGGCCTTTCACCTTTTTTTTAAACCCTCTTGGGTTTCTTTTTTCACATGTGGCGAACTGTTTCCAGTGTGATCCACTTTTTGCTTTTCATTAAAGGATCTCCCTCTTTCCCAATTTCTATCCCTCACAGATTGAAATTGCTATCAGAAGCTAGATTTCGATGTATGCACTGATGTGTGTTCATCCATCATCTCTGCGGTTCTTCTCACTATTCTAATTTTGTGTTCCTCAGCGTGAGGTTCTTATCATTTCTCGAAGTGAGTTTTTGAACTCCTCCATCAGAGTAATCTCACGAAGATCCTCAAGTGTCTTTTCTACCTTTAATACTCTTACCCTTCTATTGAAGTTGCTATGTTTAATTCTTTCAAATTTGACATAAGTCTGACCTGGTTCCTTTCTTATATTTCTGATCCGTTGTCTATATGCTTCTGGTACCAATTTGTAGGCACTGAACAGAGCCTGTTTTACTACTTGATATTCTGTTGACACCTCATCCGACAGCGCTGCAAGCACCTCACTAGCCCTAACTACCGACTTGGTCTGAATTAACATTACCCACACCGTCTCTTGCTAGCTCATCTAGTTGGCCAGTTTCTCAAAGCAAATGAAAAAGGTTTCTCCATCTTTTTCATTGAATTTTGGTAATGTTTTGACATTTGTATAGATTCCTATCAGGTCTTGGGCTTAGTGAGGAGGAGGGTGATGATGAGCAGACCCATCATAGCCAATCTTCTACTTTCATTTCCATCATTTTAAGTTGGCTATCCTGTTTAATTCACAACTTTCGAAGTTAAAACACCCTGTTGTCTTCTTTTTGTCTTTCCTCTGCTTATAATCGTAATTCATTTTTTCAATTCCCATTCATTCTCTAACTCCAGTTGTCTTAATTGCAATTTAATTTTTCCTGACTCCACTGCCCGTCTGTTTCTCTGATATACCTAAATGCTTGACTAACTCCTTACAGTTTCAGCTTTCCTCTTAGCCCTCGCTTTACCCAATTCTAGCCTGTTTGCTAAGTCTCAAAGTATATCCTTCCTCTGTCTTTGTAAACTTTCTTGGCAAATTTGGGAAGTTTCCTCTAAGCTCCCAAAAAACCATCATCTGACCAAAAGTACAGTGGCATTCTTAGCTAATATTCCTGACACCAGAATTGGACCAAAAAAGGTGTTCTGACTAAAGAACAGCGGAGAAGGCACCAAAATTCTGGAAGACGTATCCTGGCTGTAATTTTGAGAGACTAAGTTTGAAGTTTTGTTTTTTATTAATTTGGTTTATATGTGGGGCTTGTACCTCTTGGAACAGCATACCTTTACAATTTTGTTTTATTTGGGAATAGTTAGTAGTTAAGGGGGGAGTTGTTCAGTCTGTTAGTAATGTTAAGAGCCATTTAACAACCTTAAGAGCCATTTCCCCGACTTTTGATTTAACCAACTACAAGTAACTGAAATTAAACAGTTTTTCCACTTCTCACCTAACTTTTATTTAAAGATCTGGGACACTAATCCCCAAGTCTGTTTAAATCTGCTGGGACCTTTCGTACCCGAAATCTGTTCAAATCCATTCAGATCCCAGACTCGATCCCAATGTGTTATGAAGCAGACGTCGACCCCCACCCTCCCCCACTCTGATCACTAAAACCGAAACGCCCAGAGAAGTTTGCCTCGCCTCGTAATCTGTTAAAGGAAGTGTGAGAAGTGGTATAACCCGCCTCTGACCTCCCAATCTGTTATAAAGGTGAGGTCAAATGAAATGAGCTCCTGACAGTCACTTTATAATCAACAAGCAGCAATTTATTTATCTAACTCTGACAGTGAATAGATTAATAGAACTACTAACAAACTGAACAATTCCTCCTTAACTAACATATCCCAAATAAAACAAAATTGTAAATGTTCCAATAGGTACAAGTTCCATTTATATAAAGCAAATTGTTTTTTAAAAACTTAGTTTCTCGAAATTACAGTCAGGAAATGTCTTCTGGAATGTTCAGTGCCTTCTCCAGTGTTCAGTCAGAACGCCGTTTTCAGTCAAATTCTTGTCAGGAATATTAGTTGTGTGCCGCTGTACCTTTAGGCAGATGATGGTTTTTGAGAGCTTAAGTGATTTCTGTGAGAGCCAGTGACTTTTTTTTTCTTTAAGGGCTGCTGGTTGTAACTCTAACAGATGGCAGTTACTCTCTCCTCGATTTTCAAATGCCCTCTTGTTTTATACCCTTGATGACCTATCAGTTTCTTACAATAGAATTGGTCCTAGATTGTCAGAACCATCAGAATCAACAGTTTTTAAGTCTCTCAGTGCCTGGTTTAAATTGGCTGATATTCAAACTGGCTGCCTTGTTAACAAAACAAGACTAATTTCAGTTGTTAATCATATAGCCTTTTGATACAAATATTTCAATTCCAGGAACTCTGTGCCGACTGCTGCTGGCAGACATATTTCCTTTAATCTCCAAGCCTAGAAAAAGCACATCATCTTTTAAAGGCACTCCTCCCTTCATCATTCTACAAACAAATTCTAATGTCCTGCATTTTAATCCACACGTACTCAATCCAACTTGGCAACAACATTGAAAATAAAAATGTTTCTAATTAGTATCCTATGTTCTTAGATATCTAAGACTGAGATACTGTCTGTCTGAGAAGCCAGAAGTCAACAGTGTGTTACGGGGAGTAGGCAAGCAGATGGATTTGAGGCAAAAAAGGCTTGAGTGACTCCATGGTCAACTTGCGTTCGTACTTATTATGTTGCTAAGAATTGTTTTCTTGAAATTTGTTACCCTATCTGATGTATCCATCTACCAACTCGAGTTACTGATTCTGTCCCACTGCTTGTCAACTGACTGAGTTGCAGTTGGAATATTAGCAACCCTGGTATCACGTTTGACTTGTGGTGAGCTTCTGACCAGATATCCAGGCCATCACTGAGACTGCCTCTTTCTGTCCCTAACGTCTGATTCCGCTCCATCTCCGCTCACCTGCTTAATCTCCCGTTCAGATTTTTCGCTACTAGTCAAATTGACTTGCTTCCCTTCACTTACTCTCGTTTGAGGTCCTCCATGGCTCTGCATCACGTTCCATTAATCCACTGTCTAAAGCTCATTGACCTCAAGTTTGCATAAACACTTTCAAATTCTTATCCTCCTGTTCAAATATCTCCATGGCCCAACCTCCCTCCACCTTTGTAATCTGCTCCCACCTTTTGAGATTTCTGTCCTCATCTAATTCGAGACCTTTGAACCTCCCTAGATTTTCATCACTTCACTGCTAATTGCTGTGCCTTATGTCTGGTCACTTAGCTCTGTAGTTTCTTAGTAAATTACTTCACTTTTCTGTCTTCCTTTTTGGGTATTTCTTAGAATCAACTCTTTCATTTAACCTAATGATGTCATGTTTGTTCATAATATTCCAGTAGAGCACTGTGGGGCATGTGAAAGGTATTGTGTAAAAGTTTCAGTCTAAATTAAGATCCAGTTTGCTTAGCTTTTTTTAATGTAACTATTCAATAACTAAAATACTATTATTCACTAAATAATTTTGTTAAATTTCATCCAGAAATGTTCACTTTAACGTTGTAACTTGCCTAAATGTATTCTTATGGTCTTTTGCAGGGAATGGATCCGGTAACAAGACAAGTAGGTCAACACATAGAGATGGAACCAGAGTGGGAGGCAGCATTTACCTTACAGATAAAGCTCACACATATAATTTCTATGATCCAAGAATGGTGTGCCTCCGATGTTAGTCTCAGTTAAATATATCATTACACCTTCTGTCATGTTTTTCATGGACAAAGATTTTTTTTTTAAGAGGGCTTTTATTAAAAGATCCAAAAAACTGAATTCTCTTGCTCATAAATTTAAATTCTTTGCTAGTTTGGGAGACTAGGTTTGAATTTGTAAGCAGTCGCAATGATAGGTGGATTGCCACTGTACTTGTAAATTCCCTCGACTGATCATTGCTGTGCATTTCTTCTGGCACCTTCCACTCCTAACTTTGACAGGCCCAGTGCCATGTCTTTCAAGGAACCTTTTAGGTGCGGTGCAGAATTGGCATTTTTATGCTGTTAGCTGCGATATGGGAAGTTGAGAGGTCCAGTCTTTGAATCTTGGTGAATGGATAGGTAGGTTAGGTGGCTATCCAATTCAAGGCACTTAATCAGGTTAGGTTGGAGAATTAGTCAAGTTAATTTGGTAAGTGTGAATAATTGGGGAAATGGTCAGGTCAGTGGTAGATGAGTCAGGTCAAGTCATGAAAGATAGTCATATCTGTTCAGGAGGGATACTTGGGTAGATGGGAGGACTAGCTTGCTTGGGGGGGTGTAGTTAAATCGGCTTGATAGGATAATAGGATATGGTCATCAGGGGTAGTCGGGTCGGGAATGTGGTTGAGTCGGGAAGAGTATGGGAAGGTTGGTTTCCTGTGTTAGCCAGGTGTATAGCATCACAGAGTACGGAGGAGGCTCTTCGGCCCATCAAGCCTATACTGTCACAATATACTACTACCTACACTAGTCCCACTTTCTTGCCCTAGGCCCTGGGCCTTGAATGTTTGAAGGATATGAGGTTTCCCACCTTAGCACCCTGTCTAACATCTGGGTAATTATCTGGATAAATATTTGGGTTCATCCCAAATCTTCAGAAGTTTAAGTTGCCTCGGGTCTACCCTCACAATTTCCTCAGGGTCCTAATGTAAATCTTTAGCAATGCATCTGGTCTCCAACAATCCGTATATTTGAGATATGTGGCCATTATGTTGCCCAGGTCTTCAAGTTGGTGTTTAGAGCAGTTGAACCTTTAGGTTACATCTTTTCAGTAATTGCCCAGCTATTTTGGTAAGAATTGCAAGCCCTATTTCTGAAAACAACAAAAACAAATTGTTGGAGAAACTCAGCAGACCTGGTAACATCTGTGGAGAGAAAGCAGAGTTAACATTACAGGTTTAGTTAACCTTCTTTGGAACCTATTTCTGACATTGATCAGATTCCTGGGCAGTGACTCCTCTTAGAAACCTGTCTGGGAATCCAAAGATCTAACATTGAAGTTGATCTTTGTAGAAGCCATGCTTCAGTTTTTTTTTCCACAGTCGTGTGTCCCCTTCTTTGATCTCCATGTCCATCAGCACAAGTAGTTACTTTGACAGCTCCCATAAAAAGCCAAGTGTGTCAGCTACAAGTAAGGTTAGTGTGTTAGGTGGGTATCCTGGGCAGGTGGTACTTAACATATCCATCTGTTAAATTAGGTGGGAAAAACCCCTGAGGCGCATAGTTTTATTGTAAACCTTTAGTTTAGCACCACCACTAGATTTCACCTTTCTGAATCCATTACCTGTCCAGAAGCCAAACACCTGCTGGAGAAGAAACCAGCTTTCTTTTAAAGATATTTTCTGATCTGCCTCTTCAGAGTTTTATTACGTACCCTTGGAGCAGGTGGGATTCCAATTCAAACCTCCTGGCACAGAGTAAGGGACGCGACCATTGCGCTGCAAAAGCCCATCAGTTTTTCTTTAATTTTACAATCCCATCACCAAATCACTTGGGCAATTAATTATCAAAAAGAGCAAACACTGCTCACCAGAGTCAAAAGCACAATTTAAAAAACCCAAAAAGGGGTGGGGAGCAAGGGAGCGGTCTAATTCAAAAGGGAGTTGGTGAAGCAAATAATGTGCTCCAACTCCCACAGTGCCCACCTCCCTCTCAATGCCTTGAGGGTTATGGTGAATATAACATGCTCCCTTTCAGAACAGACTTCTTTTCTGGTATCTCTTACATTTCTCTTTATTGTTCTTAAACACAACTGAATTTTTTTTCCATCACCAAATCACCCTTGTATTTTTTTCCCCCCATCTATTAACCACCACCAGTAAATCACCCATTTTTACCAATTGAATACCTCACCTGCAAAGCTCATTAAGGGCAATGCAAGCCTAAAAGGTGACAGCGAGAGGAAAGGGGCTAAATCAAATTAAAAGTATCCAGTTCTTAAATTTATGGTCCAAAGTCATATTTTGCTCCCACTAATTCTGGAACTATTCTAGTTTGCACTTAACGAGACATAATTTCTAATATTGACTAATGAGGCACGAGGTTCGGGTGTCAGGTTAACGAATGTGTACTTGGGGTATATGAGGGACGTCTGAGTTGGAGGGACTTGGGTCCAGTTTTGGGGGTGGAGTGTTAGTAGATGTCAGTCAGAATTGAGGGGTTTTAGGTCCGACTGTTGGGAGTGTGTGTTGGTTGTAGGAATACGGTTGTTGGAGGGCAATTATCAGGGGTTTGGGGGAAGGCTTAGTTGTAGAGTGAGGTCAGTGCTGAGTTGAGTCGGTTTATTAGTTATCCCAGAGTTAGAGTACTCCTTAAAGCTTCTTGGGTAACAATTAAGCTTAAGTACTGTGACCAGTTCTGGTCTCTGTTATATGAAGGATATTATTAAGCTGGAGAGGGTTCAGAAGACATTTACCAGGACTTTTTTTTGTCTTTTTTTTTACCCATTCACGGGATGAGGACGTCGCTGGCTAGACCAGCAGTTATTGCCCATTCCCAATTGCCCAGAGGTCAGTTATGAGTCAACCACATTGCTGTGGGCCTGGAGTCACATGTAGGCCAGACCAGGTAAGGATGGCAGTTTCCTTCCCTAAAGAAAGCAAGTGAACCAGATCGGTTTTTCTGACAATCAACAATGGATTCACGGTCCTCATTAGACTCTTAATTCCAGTTATTTATTGAATTCAAATCCCACCATCTGCCTTGGCAGGATTTGAACCCAGGTCCCCAGAACATTACCTGGATCTCTGGATTAACAGTCCAGCGATAATACCACTGGGCCATTGCCTCCCCTAATTACAATTTCAAAATTAACTTTGAATTCCGAAAGGTATTTGATAAGACCCCACATCAGAGGTTACTTCACAAGAATACATGGTTTAGTGGGTAGCATAATAGCATGAATCAAGGATTGGTTGACACAGTAGAGAAATATGATCTTCTGTCAAGTTGGCACATTATCGCTGGTGAAGTGCCACAGGGGTCAGTGCTGGGCTTCAATCTATGTGTGAATTTGCATCAGTTCTTTGGATGAAGGGAACCATATGTTTAGGAGCTAAATCTGCTGATGACACCAAGATAACTCAGAAGTTAAATTGTCAAAAAGTCAAGTGTCTACTAAGTGAGGTAGATAGGTTAATTGAGTGAGCAAAAAATTGACAGGTGGTATGCAATGTGGAAAATGTGATCTTTTCTCTGGCTGGAAGAATGAATAATAACATATTATTTACATTAACAGAGATTGTAGAACTCTGGTACAGAAGTAGTACATGATTGTCTTTGTACAGGAATCACAAAAAATAGTCGTTCTTTCACAGCTTGGCTAGCATTTCGTACTAATCCTGAATTGCTGTTGAGAAGGTTATAATTAACTACTTTCTTGAATTAATGAAGTCCCTGTGGTGCGGGTAAAGTTGCAGTGCTTTTATGAAGGAAATTCCATGATATCCTTCCAACAGTAGTGAAGAAACTGCAGCATAGTTCCAAGTCAGGGTAGTATGTAACTTGGAGGAGAACTTGAAATCAGTGGTGGTTCTTTGTATTTGTTGCTTTTGTCCTGGGTTTGGAAGATGCTGTTAAAGGAGCTTTGGTGAATTGCGACAGTAGATATTAGGTATTGTTGCCACTGTGCATCTTGGTCGAGGAAATGAATGTTGAAAGTGGTGAATGAAGTGCCTATCAAGGGACTGTTTTGTTTTGGATGGTATCAAACTTCTTCCAACAGGAAGGCATTTTCTCTTGTCGGGGAGACTAGAATAAGGGGACACAGTTTTAATAATAAGAGGTATCCCTTCAAAATGAAAGTGAGGATGAGTTTTCACTTTTGAAATTTGTCAATCTGTGGAATTTTCTTCTGCAGAAATTAGTGGAGGCTGCATCTTTTGAACTTATTCCAGACTAAGTGAAGTAGATTTTGATAGTCGAGAAAGTCAAAGAATAGAGGGCAGACGGGAAGGTAGAGTTGAAACCATAATCAGATCAGTCCTGATCTTGGCAAATAACAAGCAGGCTTGAAAGGTGCCAAATGATCTACTCTTGCTTCTGAACCCTTTCTTCGTGTATTGCATCATTTAATTTTGCACTTGAGTATTGGTTCAATGATGTGAGCCTTCACAATGTTCATTCCCTAACTATGATAGTACATTTTCACTGAAATATATCCTCCAAAAATCGTCGGTATGTTTTGTAGGAAAGTATTGAAGGAAACAATTGTTATCGTTAGCAAATAAACTTGATTCCTGTGTGATTAGATATGGGGCGAAAGATATCTGCAGAAGTTGCAATTTTTAAAGACTGTTTATACTTTCTTAAAAATTGATCTGAAGGACATTTTCTCAGTATTTTGATTGCAGCTTCAGTTCTGTTCACTGTCAGCCAAATCTGACTTTGCAGGTTTTTCCTCCTCCTCTGAAATTAATTTTTGGAACGTGTTTAACCCATGCTGAGCTCCCCTTACAGGCCTTGCTTCTAAGGGTCAAACACCGTTTACATAAAATGAAGACTTTACAGTTCAATTGATGAACGTGTCTGGGTTTAATATTTAACTGAAACTAATTTTGTTTTATTTTCTTTTTATTCCAGGAAAGGGTTCTAATTGAAGCCTACAGGAAGTGTTTGATTGTTTTATTACAGTGTCATAATGGACCATGTGATGGTGAGCAACCTATCACCTTGAGTATGTGCGGACATACGTTGGAAAGTGTACAGTATCGTGTATCCCAGCATCAAGTCAGCATCCATTTGCCAGTTTCACGTTTGTTTTCAGGTAATTATGTTTGTAATTTTATCGAGTTTAAAATTGAAAATTTAAAACATGATGGAAACATTCAATAATCACTCAGCATCTGTTGAGTGAAGAGTTTACTTTTCGAGATAATATTTTTGTGAGTAATGTAGTTTCCTAATATTAGAGTAACTAATATCTGGATTAGACTTTATTTAATTTCTGAGATGCAGACCCAGCAAATCATGATTTCCATACCCTGTTAGAAAGTGAATTTCCTTGAAGCCTGCCAATTTGAATTTTAGGGAGGTTAGTTCATTCAGTATTGCTCCAGTTGCAAGGTGTTTGATCATATAATAAATAAATGGGACAGAAGCAGTTGGGTGGAGAAAATCATTCAGATTTAGAAAGTGGTCAAGTAGAAAGATTTATGGTCTGTTTACCTGTCAAAAAGTACTTTGTCACAATGCATGACAGGAAGCCGTGGTTAGAGAGTGTACTACAGGGCGTAGATAGATGATCTGTTTTAACATGGGCAAGTTTCATCTCTCTATTTGGTGTTTGGTCAGAATCCATAACATTAACAAGATGGTGAACTTAAGGCAGTTGCAATTCCAAGAGATGTTGGCAAGCTACCTCACGATTTGGAGTAGAGCACGCCTAACCACCCCAAGATGTTGCATGAACATTGCAGTCACATGCATCATTTTGGATTGTTTTTCTGATTGAGTGCAGAAAGAAAAATTTGGATCCTTGGATTAAGACCACCAGTATCCAATATGATTTGATACCAAGAATTTTCTCGGCCTTTTTTGTTCAATTTGGCTAAACCCCAGAGGATACATCTGAGAATGGAGAGTGTCCGTTTCCATTCTTGGGTAGTAGTAGGGCTAGTGTCATTAAAACACAGTTAATCCATGAAGCACTACTTAGAAATGTTACGCATCAAATTGAGAAGTTCTATCCTGGTTTATCCCTTTGCCCTTTTTGGTACAGGAATAAATAAACTGAATTTCTCCCTTGTAAATTTCGGTCCTTACGGATTATCTTCGATGAGTTAGCAACCTCTTTAATGTTGTCTAATTTGTTCAGAGTTTAATTGCAATCTGAGGCCATGCTGGAAAATACTGCGTATGGCTGACCTATCTATTTCCTTCATGGCAGGAATTTGCTCCCATTTGAGAATATTTACGTGACTCCTTCTCAGTGGGTTTGACAACTGATAACAATCCTGATTTAGTGTCATTTATATATCTCCCACTCCTAACACCCATCATTTCTACATCCACCCTTTGCACCTAATTGATGGTAGGTCCGATCTTGTCACTGAAAGTCAGTTAGACGGAATATTGAAAATACAAATGTTCACCGTTGGTCCTTTCTTCATTTATGCTAATTTGAATATTCACTGTAGTCTAATTTTTTTTTTTACCCCATTACATTTATTGGATGAAGAGAAGATGGGAATTGTGACCAAGGTTTTGGAGGGGAATGATAAGACAGCCAACAAGACTTGTGTATTTTACTCCTGAATGGAGGAGTTCCTCCTGGTCCTTTAGTGAACCTGAATGGAACCCAATCTTCCAATATTACCCTTGATGCACTGTTGAAGATAATGATTAAGCTTGAAGCTCTCAGAAAATGAGAGGTACTTGTCACCTTGTGCTCATCATCTGCCTGCTGTTGGAGACATAATGTGATGTCTTTGACCTAGTTAAATGTTTGGTCAGCTGTGACTGAGAATGCAAGTGGTATTAAAAGTCAAGAGCAGCTGTCTGAACTTCCCTTTGATTGCGATCATTACATAACACAAGTTAATATTTTGGAAACGTTATCAGTCATATGGTTTTTGACAAGCAGCTGAAAATGTTTATTTTAAGTCACCTTAATTAAGGTGTTCTTGTGCAATTGCATGTAGCTTTGGAGGATTGGCCTTTATATAGCTCCTTTAGCAATGCACAGCACTCCAAAAGAACTTAACTGGAGTGTTATCAAGTAAAACATTTTGACTTTGAGTCACAATAGGAAGTAAGAGGGCTGATGGCCCAAACTTGGTCAAAGGAATAAGTTTATTATAGTATCTTAAAGTAGAAAGCGGTATAAATTTGAAATGGTTCACAGACTGAAATCAAGAGCTTTGGGCCAAGCCAGTAAAAGTATAGATGCCAGTGAAAAACTTGTTTAGAATCCAGAAAGTGCAGAAGGCCAGAATTAGCAGAGTGCTGAGGTCTTGAGGCTTGTCAGACTGCAGGAAGTGGTGAGGAGGGGCAGCGCCAAATCGAGATTCTAAAACAAAGATGAGATTTGAGGCATTGGACAGGGAGCCAATGTTGTACGACAAACACAAGTAATAGGTGAACTGAGACTTTGTGCGTGTTCAGATATGGGCAGCAAATTTGGATCAGTGCAAATTTATGAAAGGTTAAAGATGAGTGACTGGCCAGAAGAGCACTGAAATAGTCAAACCTGGAGACAACAAAACTTAGCATGTGAGTTTCAGCAAACAGTGAGCTGCGACAGGTTTGGAGTCAGCTCATATGATGAAGTTGGACGTAGATAGTATTCGTGCTGGAGTGGATATGTGGTTGAAAACTCATGTCTGCAACCTTCCAGTTGTGTTTGATATGAAATGGTTAATTTGGCTTCGAGCAATTATGATGGAAGCAATGGACAAGACTGGAGTTAATGATGGGGACTGAAGATCATGGTTGTGATCTTTTCAACCTTTAATTGAAAGAGAAGTTTGCTCATCTAGTATTAGATGTAAGATGACCTTTATGAAAATCAGCATTCAGTTTGTGTCCAGAAGACGTGATGATGAGAGAGAATTGTTGGAACTTGACTGTTTTCAGATTATATTGCTGAGGGGAGTAGTTAAGAAAGTGAAGGGAGTCATGGATAGACTCTTAAGGGACCTGCAGAGCTCTCAGTGCATGGCTTTGAAATAAAAACATTGCAGATGGTTCTCTGGCTTCCTCTGAATAGATAAGAATGAAACCAGATGGATAGTTCTACCCACTTGGACTACTATTTAACTTGTTTCTTTTCTACAGAGCATTTCTTGGAATCTATATCTGCATCAAAGGTGTAACGTTTGTGGGCATGTAGGTGATTAGTTGTTGTGGAGCTCAAATTGAATCATAGAATCCCTACAGTGTGGAAACAGGCCCTTCGGCCCAACAAGTCCACACCAAACCTCGGTGCATCCCACCCAGACCCATCCCCCTATAACCCACCGAAGCTACACATCCCTGAACACTATGGGCAATTTAGTATGGCCAATCCACCTAACCTGCACATCTTTATATCCCAGACTGTGGGAGGAAACCGGAGCACCCGGAGGAAACCCGCGCAGACACGGGGAGAATGTGCAAACTCCACACAGACAGACACCCGAGGCTAGAATCGAGCCTGGGTCCCTGGTGCTGTGAGGCAGCAGTGCTAACCACTGTGCCACTGTGCTGCCCCAAATTGAGTAGCAGTCTGTACTCATTTGGTACTTGTGTTTTTTTCATGACATTTTTGATTATGCCTTTCACCACTTTAAAATTATGGATGTATGCCCCAATTAATTGTTATTTTTTTTAAGTTGGAAGATAGCACAATTAATTTCAGCTGGCAAGATTTGAGTTGCAGCACCAGTGCTTTACCAAACTTTAGTTATGGGCCTTGTAGCTTGATTTGTGATGAGTATTGTCATTATTGAGGTCTGTGTTCTCCCAAAATGTTTTGTTTTAATTGAAGATTGGTGCATCTTTTTTCTTCATCAGCCATCATGTCATTTTGCACATGTGAACAAGAATATTTTGGTATTCTGTTTGAGCTTTCAATTAAGGAAGCTAGTGAACATTCATTGTAATAAAATCCATTTTTGCCAGTTTTACCTATTTATTGTATTAATAGAAAAAAAATTTGCTGCAACTGTTCAAGTTGGTCAGGCAGCATCTCTGGAGAGAAGTGATGTTTCGGGAGTTCTGATGCAAGGTCACAAACCTGAAACATTTGCTCCGTTTCTGTCTTCACAGATGCTAGTTGATATGCCAACTATTGACAGCATTTTCTGTTTTTCCTTCAGATTTCCATCATCTGCAGTATTTATTTTCCTTGATCAAGCCTAGAAAAGAAGAAAATTAATCTAATTCTGTAATTCACTGCTCCTTATCTCTTGAAAAAAAAATTATACAAAAAGTTATAATCCAGAAGGTCTTGGGGAATTTGATGGCAAGGCTGCATATTATTACTACACAGCGGGTAAATTTATAGACATGGTTGAAGGCCATTTTATTTGTTCAGTGCTGAGTTATTTTCTTTCACTTAGTATTCATGGTTGTTAATTGCAAACAAGCAAAAAAAAGGACTTGAATAAACAGATGCATGCAGCGTGTGAGAATCGAGTTGGAAAACTAAATGCTGTGATTGCAATATGGGAAATTATGTAGTTGGAGCTTGACTTCATCCAGGGCATGATTAAGAATTAAACATTCTGGGGGAGGTGTGAAATAGTAAGGAAGGCAGAAGAGATTAGGCATCAAAAGGAATGATGATGCAAGGCAAAGAGGGTTGTGATGAGAAAATAAAGAGTCCAGAAGAGCTGAAAATGACAAAAGTAGAATTGTTCATTACCAGCAACTGTGCCCAAAAATATGGGATTAGTGGTTATGGTCTGCTATTACTGAACTGCCTGGAAAGTTAATCAAAAGTTGAGCTTGGTTTTTCAAGTTTCCATTGAGCTTCATTGGAATGGTATAGGAGCCTGAAGACAGAGGTCAGAGTAAGGGGACAGAAAATTGAAATGGTAAGTTGGTGGGAACTTGTTGTTTTCTTGCAGATTGAATGGATGTCTTCCTCAAAGCAATTTCCCAAATTACATTTGGTCTCAATGTAGAATTTGCATAATGAGCAGTGAATACAGTGGTGTAATCATCTAGAACTGCACGTTTTTATCTTTTGTTTTTATTCATGTACCTTCCCCTGTCCTCGGATAAGATGCCACAACAAAGGTTATTGTGGAAAATCAAACCCGTGGTATAGAGTGTAACATACAAACATAAATGGAAGATTGATTGCTTGGCACAAAACAGAATATGTCTTAATGGGTCTTCATTATATTAGCAGGGTATGATGAATTGAGTCCTGCTAAGGCCTCAACTTTTTACGACTTAGCTGAGGGGGCTGAAGGCATGACAGCTGAATTCACAGTGTGAAGATAGGTAGGAATGTATGTTATGAGTAAGACATCAGGAGATGCAAATGGATGTAGATTGGTTGAGTGAGTCGGCACAAATCTGCTAGTTGGAGTACGCTAGAAAATTTGAAGTAGGTCACTTTGGTTAGAATGAAAAAGCAGAGTAAATTTTCACTGGAGAGTGATCGTGGAATTCTGAGGTGCAGAGGGATCTCTGTGTTCGAGTGCGTGTAATGGAAAAAGTTAGTGTGAAGATACTGCATGTAATCACCAAACCCTAATTGGATGTTCTCCTTAATTATAAAAACAATTTGACGTGAAAGTAAAGTTTTTATGCTTCACTTTTACAGGGCACTTATGAGGATGTATCTTAAATACCATGTGCAGTTTTCGTTTCCTTATTTAAGGAAGGATGTAAATAGACTCGAGCTGATTCATACAAGGTTTATTAGGTTGATAGTTGGAAGGCGTGGGTTGCCTTGGGGATCGGTTGGACAGGCTAGGCTTGTTTCCACTTGCCTAGTGGAAAGTTTTGAAGAATGAGGGGTATAAGATCCTGACTACTTTTGACAAAACGGGCATGAAAGGAATGGGTAAGTCCAGATCTGTGAAGTGCTATTTTAAAAATAGGGGTCACTTTTTTTAGTGCTGAGATGAAAATCTTCTTGTCTGAGAATTATTCAACTTTGTAATTGCAAACAAGGTTAATGAATACTTTAAGGCAGAAGTAGATAAGTTTGGCAAGAGAATCAGTGTTTTGGGGATCCTGTTGAATGGTGGGGCAGAAAAGCCTTCTAATGTTCACATTTCGTATGTTTGTAAATGTGGGAAATGAGCTGGGCAAGTTTGAAAGCTACGTTAATCTCTCTGGATGGGAATCATCAGTTGAAAAGAAAGGATCACACTAGTGTCAGAAGCACTGGTAGGAAAAGTGACTTCTACAGAAGAATGAGTCGTAGAACACAGAACAGTACAGGAGAGGAACAGGCCCTTTGGCCCACCATGTCTATGCTGACCATGATGCCATTCTAAACTAATTTAATCTGCCTTCACATGGTCCATTTCCTTCTATTCCCTGCTTGTTCATGTGTCCATCTAATGCCTTTTCAACTTTGCTCACGTATCTGTTTTCTCCACCTCCCTTGGCAGCGTGTTCGAGGCACCTACCACCCCTCTGTTTTTTAAAAAAAAAACTTAGCTTGCACATTTTGCTTAAACTTTTCCCTTCTGCCGTTAAACATATGCCCCTTAATTATGGACATTTTCCACTGTGGGAAAAAGACTCACTGTCCATCCTATCCATGCTACTCAATTTTATGTACTTCTATCAGATCCATGTCCCTCAATTTTATAAGATTGCCCCTCACTCCCCAACACTTTTTTGCAAAAACATTCCAAGTTTTCCCAATCTCTCCTTACGGTTGATGCACTCAAATCCAGGCGACATCCTGGTAAACCTCTTTTACACCAGAACTGCACGCAATACTGCCAATGCGACCTAACTAAAGTCTTATGCAGCTGCGACGTGACTTGCCAACTTCTTTACACAATGATCCAACTGAAGAAGGCAAGCATGCCATTATGCCGCCTTTACCATTTTCTTTATTTGTTTCCACTTTGAGGAAGGTATGGACATGTAATGCGATTTCACTGTCTAAGTTACTCCATGTCCTAAAAGGAAATAGGTTGAGAAGTGGAGCCTTCAAGATGTCTGTGAGAGTCATGAGGGTTGAATTAGAGATTGGTCAACAGCCTATCCTCGGAAATGAGAATGTAAAAAAAGCCAAGGTTGGTAGGAGTTAAAAGCTGGATCATGTGGTTATGAGAGAAAAGGAAGTTGGGAAAAAAAACAAATTTCACAGCTCAGAGCACACTCAGGAAGTGACACTGCTAAAGTAAGTAACGTGTAAGAAAAAAGGTAATATTTTAAGGGAGAGGTCTTGAGACAGTTTGGAACAAAATGTTCCATCTGTTTTACAAAAAGATAGGCAGAGCTCAATCCCAAACATTCCTACAGCAGCAGGTTTTTACTTGGAGAAAGTGATTTGAAGTTAGTGGAAAAGTTATTCAATGTAAGAAGTTGTTGAGCCATTGAGGGGAGTAGTTGTGGATAGGGACAGGTTTGGCCTCCATTCAGGAAAGAAACCGATGTGTTCAAATCATGCCGTTCAGAGATGGAGTTGTAGGCCATTGGATAGTCACAATAATGCAATAGACAGACAGTTAAGACAAGCAAAGTGTTCAAATGACACACAGTTTGATGATTGACAAATATAGCTGTGAAGAAATGAGATAAGGGGAGAAGAGTTGTGGTGGGAAGAAATCAGTTCCATGACAAGTGCACAATGAAACAATGGATCTGCCATTGTAAACAATACAATGTTTACTCAGCAAGTCTTGCAGCATCTGTGGATCACAAAATTGGGTTGATATTTCAGGTCTGTGGTCTTTCGGCCATGCTTGTGGACATTGGGGAAGAGGTGGAAGCATGCTTGGCTGAGTAGGGGGGTATAAGGGAAGATCTTCAGATGTGATAAGATCAGTTGTAGTTTGAGAAGCAATGGCCTGATGATCAGTAGTAGGGTAATTGGTGAGTTTAGAGGAGTTTTCAGGGTTGACATTACATTGTTGCCAGGTAAAGCTCTGTTCATCAGATAACAACAATGCTAAACTTATTGGCAGGTTTAATTACTTAGTAAATTGATTATTTGTCAAAACAGCACAAAATAAAATGGTTTCTTCTATTTTGTTTTAGTTTTGTCTTTTTAAACATCAAACCATTTGGCGTAGCAAATTGTAGATTTTTTTTGTGACATGGTTATAATGAGTCAGTTCAGTGATATCTGTGATAGTGCCAGTTTTTGCAAAATAGTTATGATATTTCAACACTGAGGTAATGTTTCAAAAACACTTGCTGAATCATGAATCACTTAGTTTAATTTCAAATAAAGCTAAACATTCAGATATAAGAGTGGATGAAGAAGAGTAACCTAGGATTATGTCACTTCTTCATTTCAGGTCTGCATGTGCTTTTAAGCAAAACTGAAGTGGCTTACAAGTTTCCAGAGCTATTGCCTCTTGTGAGTATAATGTTCATTTGATATTTAGCAGAGTAAACACTGTTTTTCGATTGTTGGGGATTGACCCCATCAAAACCAGTTCTACACTTGAAACTTGAGTCAACCATGCAGTGATTACAGCACAAAAGAAAGCCATGTGGCCATTCATGTCAATGCTGCCTGTCTGAAGGAGCAATTCAGCCAGAACTACTCTTGCCTCTTCCCTCTTCTCCTCTGCATTCTTCTTTTTCAGATAATTCACTGTCATCTTGAATGCTTCAACTGAATATTTTTCTGCCAGACAGTCTGCAGTGTCTTCCACATTCTTAACCACAAAGTGGAAAAGGATTTTCCTTGCTTCCTCCATTGCTTCTTCAATCAGTTATCATTAACCCGTGCGCTCTGATTCCTGATCCTTTCACCAATGTAGCAGTTTGTCCCTATCTTCACTGTCCAAGCCTCTTGTGATTTTGAGTACTTTTAGCCAATCACCTTTTGGCCAAGGAAAACAATCCCAACTTTTCTGCTGTATCTGTATGACTGAAATTCCTTGTCTTTGGAACTGTTCTCATGAATCTTTTCTGCACCTCCTTACCTGTGTTCACATCCTTAAATGTGGTGTCCAGAACTGAATGTAATACTCCACTTTAAGGCAGCAGTAAATACTGATATGGCTTTATGTAAATTCCATCTTTTTAAAACTTGTTGCATCACTGGGTTAAACTCAGACTTCCATGTTCTTTATGAACCATGCTCACAACCTGTCATGCCTCCCTCAATGATGTATGCATAAATATAGTTGGGTACCTCTGCCCCTGTATTTCTCTTCAGTGTTATACCCTTTATTTTATATTGTGTCAGTGTTCTTCTGAGCAAAATGAATCATTTTACACTTCTGATTTAAATTTTGTCCTTCACTCCCCTGTTAACTTTATCCTTAACTTGTCCTTTTTCAGTTGTACAGTAACCTCCTCACTTTCAAGTTTTGACTTTCATGTTTTAAAACTGCCTTGTACTCCTAACTCTAGGTCATTAATATATATTAAAGAAGATCAGTGGTTTTTACACCAACCACCCAGGAACTCCTTTGCAGATCATTCTCTGGTCCAAAAATCTCTCTCCCTCTCTCTCACACGTCCTTTAGGAAAGGAGATATGTTGTCTTTACCTGATCTGGCTGATATGTGACACTGTGGGGAACGTAGTTGACTCTTAATGTCCTCTGAAGTGGCCTAGCAAGTCACTCAGTTGTACCAAACAGTTACAAGTGGACCACCAAGCATTGAACTTGTAACTGTTTGGTACAATTGAGGGACTCAGCACCCAAAACAAAGCAATGGATAACCCAGCCTGATCACCCTTCAAAAATCCTTATCAATATCTTGGGGCTTGTGCCAAAATTGGGAGAACTGTTCCATGAACAAGTGAAGTAACAACTTAACATAGTGAAAGTCACTGAATTGTACCTTACAGAGAGTCCCAGACACTACCATTTCTTTTTCTGAGTATGTCCTATTTCACAGGCAGACAGATCTACGAGAGGTGGTGATGCACAGTCGGTGAGTAATTGCCCCAAGAGTCCTCAACATTGGCTGCAGACCCCATAAAGTTTCCTGTCATTGGGTCAAACATGGATGAGGAAACCTGCTGATTACTACCTACCACACCCCTTGCTGATGGATCTATACATGTTGAACTTCATTTGGAGAACGTACTGAAGATGACAAGAATAAAATGTGCTTTGTGTGGGGGACTGAAGTGGTAATCACTGAGATTGGCTTGGTTGTACCACGACTGATGTGATTGTCGAGTCTTGTGGCTACTAAACTGGGAGTGTAGTGGTGGCAAGGGGAGGGAAAACCTGCAAGATCTTGTTCTTATCAGTCTAACTGTCATAGATGCATTGACCCATTAGTATTGAGAGGAGTGACCACTGCACAGTCCTTGAGATCCTGTTTTCACATTGAGGATAATCTCCGTTGTGTTTTGCTAAGATTTTGAACACATGTAACAACTCAAAGCAGGCTTCCATGAAGCACTGTGGGCCATCTACTGCAACAGTATGATGAAATGTTGATCCTCAGTGTGTTAATGGAACTGTATCTACACAAGTACTGTGTGGTCTTCATTTCTGCTATTGTTGTTGTGGACTGGATCCACCTGTGATGGTTAGAATGGTCAGGACAAGGTCAAGCAGGTTTTTCGCTCTAGTTTGTTCCCTTGCAGCTTGCCACACAGCCAATCTTAACAACATTTTCCTATTGAACATGGCCAACAAAGTTAGGAGTGGTGGAATCCAGCAACTCTTGGTGATGGACATTGAAGTATCCCAACCAATGTGCATTCAGTGCCCTTCCCTCCCTCTGTGTTTCTTGCAACCATTGTTTAATGTGGAAGAGTACAGATTCATCAGATTGGAAGTGATTCGGGCTATAGGTGGTAATCAGCACAAGGCTTCTTGGTTCAGGTTTGACTTGATGGCATGAGACTTCATGGGCTCCAGAGTCAATGCTGAAGACACCCAGAGCAACTCCCTGCTTGTGTTACTGTCTCTGGTGGGTCTACCGTGTTGGTGGGTCTACCGTGTTGGTGGGTCTACC